AGTAAGTATATGGGGTACACGCACTGAAAATAAATGTGAAATACTGCATCTGTATTAGGTTAGGAATATTATATTAATAATAACGCTGGATCAAGTACTAAAGCAAGATATAAAGCATAATATTGTTGATAACTGTTTTAACAAAAATTTCACTATTTGAAACGTAAAATACCTAAACAATTAGACCAATGTTGTATTGATCGACAGTTACTTAGAATTACCTAAACGTACCTATTGTATTAAATCGTGAAATGTTGAAAGTAACTATATACAAAGTGTGTATTTTTTTAAATCCGAAAAGTGCCTTTTACATTTTGCATAATATACTGTTGTTCCATTTAAAATAATCGGCAGTGTTTCACAAAAATTTAACATTTCTGTTAAATTTGCTTTACGTCCGCTCATTTTATGTTTATGTAAAAACAGCCAAACAGAAAAAGTTGAGTGATGAATTGAGTACAGCACAAAATAGATCATACGTAAATGTAACGCAAATATAATATAGGTTAGATTAAACTGAAATTAGAGCGCAAACTCCGCTTTGTCTACATTGTCTACATAGTCTACGTTGTTTACATAGTCTACGCGAAGTCTACACGTAGACGTCGACAATTAAAGTCGACGCGTAAACGCCCATCCCTGGATATTAGCCATTTTTTCGACTGGCAACCCTGGCAACTTCGCCATTGCATTTGGCTACCCGGTTCCGTTGTTCTCGCGTCTGCCGCTTATTTGTACGGAAAATTATTAATTATCGACAACTTGGCTGCCTGGTTATTTTAACGGGAGCCTTAATGTGACAGGGAAGGCCGCGCCGGGTTTTTGAGTGACGGCGGAGGACGAATTGCTTTTCTAGAGCTGAATCGAGCGCCATTTGTCATCGCCTCGCGTTTGTTATGCTTCTACAGATGTCAAAGTATTCTAACCGGCCAAGATCGTTAACCTTCGTGAAAAAAAAAACTATAGACTGAATACATTCCTGACATCTTTACATATTTATTTATTTTTTGATTTTGTATAATGTTAAACATAAAAAAAGATCTATACTGATTTATTAATTTTCAGATTCAATACAGAGTGTAAATCTACAACGTGTAAAAGGGATCCAGATTTAAGAATATTTTCGAATATAAGTTATTTTGTGAAAAAAAGTTCATACAAATGTAGGTCGAAATATGCTATAGACTGTTTAAATTTAAATTTTTTTTATTTATTTTTATTAATTATTTCAGAGTTTTGAACATCCTGTATCTCGAAATCGAAGAATTTTTTACCCACATCACATCAACTTTTTATTTTCAATGTTGAATTGCATTTTTACTTTCACCATGCTTTATTATAATACCTTTAAATAAAAGATTAACAAAACCTATATACAATAAAATATGTTTTATTTTTTTCTTNTGAAAAACGACAGTTGTTGAAGAAAGAAAAGAAAACCTATAGAAATATAAGCAGTTAATAAGCGAGAGAGTGTAAAAAGATTCAAGTTGGAGAAATCAAGAATATAAAAGTACCAAGTGGTAAAATAAGTGACCCAAGAATACGAGACCAGCGGAGCACCAACAAACAAGGTCCAGGAAGACAGAAAGAACGCGGAATAGCATTAACAGGTTCCAGAGGCCAGTAAGAAAACGGAATATCAGTAGCAGGATCCCGGAGAGCAGTAAGAAAACCGAATATCAGTAGGAGGGACTAGGAGACCAGTAAGAAAGCAGCATAGTCGAGAGGTTCCTGAAAGGAAGCGAGATAGGATAGACAAGAATTAAGGAAAACAATCAAGCAAAGTAAAGTAGAGAAATCAGTCGACAAGTCATTATCGATAATACGTATAAAAGGTACCTTTATAATAAAAGTNATACAATAAAATATGTTTTATTTTTTTCTTCAAAAAAAAAACGGTGCATTCTACGAAAAAAATTGAAGCGACCAATTTCATTCAGAATTGATGGAGGATTTTTTAAAAAATATCAAAACGGGCAAAAGTCAGTGGCGTACCATTTTTTATTAAAGAAAGTTGTGGCATTCTCGCAAGAACGCCACTGGTGCGACGAGAAATATTCGGATCACCCCAAAAAATGCCCATTTATCCCTCCAAAGCGTGTTTCAAATTTCGAGTCAATATCTTTAAAACTTTGTAATTGTATATCGCAGAACATACCACGGTGATAAGATTAGAAAAATATGAATATTTTCTTGTAAAAATTTTGATCAGCAGGGCCTATTTACGAAAGTCCAGACCTGCAAAATTCTAAAATAAAATTTGAATTTTTTTTATAATTTCGAAACGGTTTGAAATAAAAACTTGAAAATTGTAAGTATGGTGCAAGTCGCTTTGGGACATATACTAGTAATTTGGTGGTATTACCGAAAAAATAAGGTAATCAGTGGCGGAGATATGAGGGCACGGTGTCATTTCTATGAATAAAAAATTATAAATCAGGGTTTTTTTACGTCTCATTTTCAAAGTAATACTCCCTTATATACAGGGTGTCCCGAAATTAATGCAACAAAATTTGGTCATAGATTCTTAAGACAAATTTAGGGGACCCGTATTTTTTCCCCTCCTTAGGCGTTACAGCCCCCTGAAATCTGCACCAAAGAATATTTTTTTTATATCTCAGAACCCTGTTGTACGAGAATCACTAAATTTGGTACACTGGGGTTTTATGCCATGCGGAATCTGATAGTGCTACGCTTTTTGGCGAGGAACCCCCTTAAGACACTTTTTCGTGGGTCCCTTTATCTTTGGAACCAAAAAAATTTGGTCGCAAATTTGAATTTCTTAAAAATTATTAGTTAGCTAGAAAGCCATTGAATTTAGAAACTTTTTTGTCTCGATATTTTTTTTGTAAAATGCAATGTATTTCAGGAAAACGTAGAATCAAGATATGCATTCGATTTTGACAGTTTTCTCGAAAATATTGCGGTTTACAAAAAAAGTATCAAGGAACAAAAAAGTTTCTAAATTTAATGGCATTCTAACGGAGGAATAATTTTTAAGAAATTTAAATGTGCGACCAATTTTTGACTCCAAAGACACGAAAAATCGTCTTAAGGGGTTCCCCGCCAAAAAGCATAGCACCAACAGATTCCACGTCATAAAACCCCTGTGTACCAAATTTAGAGATTCTCGTACAACAGGGTTCTGATATAAAAAAGACTATTCTTAGGGGCAGATTTCAGGGGGCTGTCACTCCAAAAAAGGGGACCACTTGCCAAAAAATACGGGTCCCCTAAATTTGTCTTAAGAATCTATTACCAAATTTTTATTAATTTCGGGACACCCTGTATATAAGGTAGTATTACTTTCAAAATAAGATGTAAAAAACCCTGATTTATAATTTTTTATTCATAGAAATGACATGCCCTCATATCTCCGCCACCGATTATCTTATTTTTTCGGTAATACCACCAAATTATATGTCCCAATTCGACTTGCACCATACTTACAATTTTCAAGTTTTTATTTCAAACCGTTTCGAAAATATAAAAAAAATTAAAATTTTATCTTAGAACATTGCAGGTCTGGACTTCCGCAAATAGGCCCTGCTGACCAAAATTTTAACAAGAAAATATTCATATTTTTCTAATCTTATCAACCGTGGTATGTTCAGCAATATACAATTACAAAGTTTTAAAGATATTGACTCGAAATTTGAAACACGCTTTGAAGGGATAAATTAGCATTTTTTGGGGTGATCCGAATATTTCTCGTCGCACCGGTGGTGTTCGTGCGAGAATGCCACAACTTTTTTAAATAAAAAAATTGTACGCCACTGACTTTTGCCAGTTTTGAGATTTTTCTTAGAGGCGGATTTCAGGAGGCAGTAACTCCGAAAGAGGCGGCTCCTAGGCAAAAAAAAATCGGGTCCCCTAAATTTGTCTTAAGAATCTGTTGCAAATCTTGTTGCAATAATTCCGGGACACCCTGTACAAATAAAACGTTTTTTTGTAGTCGCAGATAATTGCGATTTTCAATATTCCTGCAATAAAAAGCAATACGTTAGTTCTTAAATTAATTAGTAGGCTTTGAACATCAAATAAACGACAGGAAAAACTGTTTATAAAGTTCCTGTTCGACACCCAAGTTAAAAAACACTCCCCCTAGTTTGTCTCAAGCGTAAATATTACAATTATCTCGTAAATTATGCCCCCTAAAAAAAATTGGAAGAGGTTATATTTGTAGACAAAATGTTGTTAAAGAAACCTGATTTACAATTTTATACTTACAAAAATGACACCGCTGCCTTTATTGTTACGTCACTGATTATTTTATTTTTTTTTGGCAATACCACTCATTTACGAGTATATCCCGATTTACACTACACCTGCAATATTCAAGTTTTACATTCATACAGTTTTCGAATTATTAATAAATATCATTTATTTTTTTTCAAAAATGTACAGGGTCGTACTTCCGTAAATAGGCCCAATTAATCAAAATTGTTATAGGAATATTTTTATAATTTTCCATGTTTATTGCCGTATAGTGTTCTTTGCAACATATAATTATATATGTATATTTGCTCTTATAGTTTCAGTGAGATACAGGGTGCTAAAATTAAAATAAAGTGTTATCAGCAAATTTATCAGAGTAAAGGTGATTTTTAAAATTTTTACAAATTGCTAATTTGTACCAAAATGATGGTAAGCTATACAAAAAAGTCAAGTAATTATTTTCAGTCACTATTTTTGCGTTTATAAAATGAAAAAAAAAAAAAATCCAGTGGCGTGCGTAACAATTGAGGAAAATGTAACTTAACCAACATACATATTTTCGCGAGTGGTTTAGGCTGACTCAATTTTTTTAACGTGTTTATTCATGTATTGTGCAAACACAATTTCCTTCCAATATCTCTATTTGTTCAGAAGACATTTGGAAATACATTTTTTGGAAACTTTGTATTTTAAACACAAAGAAATATGGCAACGTCGCATAAATGGTAAATGGTAATATGACGTCATTCTGTCGGCTTAGCAGACGGACTTGTACTTACCGGTGTTTCTAAGTAAAGGGCGTTAATTTGACCTGTTGAAAAGGGCGGTGGAGGCGGTCCAAATCCCGGACCTGTACCAAGGAGCTGCGACTGCTGCCTGGAACAAGAGACAATAGTCAGTGGCGCCAACTAAACGTTTATTTTGAAATTAGATTGGCACAGGAAAGAACAAAACCACCAAGTTCCATTCTGGATAGATGAACTGATATAAATAACTGAATTGTACAAGTAGTATACATTTGTTAGATAATTTCTATGGGCCGGCTCACTCGATAGATCTAAATCCATTTACGTGTGACTTGGATCGAATGATTCGCCTGTAAGAAATAGTTTATTATTATTTTTATTTTAAAAGGCGTTTCTACTACACTCACCAAACAAATTATGGAAGCAGAAAAATTTCCGAATTTATTTTAGTAATTTTTTAAAGAATGTAACTTTGAGAATATTGATTGCGCGAGAGCGATGCTTCAAAAAAATTTTCACTTATAATCTCCCTAGTGCTTGAATTATTTCCGGAAATTTTTCCGAAGGAACGCACTGTCTACAAAAATGCGTGATTGAGGAAAAATTTCCGGACAATAATTCAAGGACGTGGGGGATTCGGTAAGAAAATTTTATAACCAAAATTTATTTAAAAAATTTGATATATTTCATTTTGAAACTTATTTCACCCAAATAAAGTTGGCTTGACAGGTAGACATTGTTTTGTGGTGCATGACATATTTTTTCTTCTTAAACGTCACATAATTTAATCGCATTTCACGCGTTTTTTTAAATTCAAAAATGGCTCTTTTTGGGAATGAAAATTCCGAAAACATGAAAGCAGAAGTGGCAAATTTAACTCCCCAAACTACGAAGAAGTCGAAATTAAGCGTATGACGGCAGTTTCTAGCTTTTTGCGCGGAAAGATCCTACAATGTTAGAGATTCAACAATATCGATGCCTGCGTTGGCATCAATTTTTGAAAATTATGCGTTTAACATGCAAAAGAAAAATTCTGATAATTACAAAGAATCTGTCGTTTAATTTTGTTAATATTTTTTACTAGTAAAACTAATACATTAATTAATTGTCATGCCCTAAGACTTTCATGTTCATAAGTACGGGGATACCTAAGCTTTGAAAAAAATGTTTCAATCTTTAGTAAAACAAAATGGTTCTTAAAACATGAAAAGCAACACGTTCCATTCACTTTAGTAATAAACGAGATATTTAATTTTTGAATTCAAATATTTATCTTTGCAGTACAATTCACTTAGTATTACTAAAATAGAAGGAAAGTAAGTTTTTGTAGAAAAGCGATGTCTATGGCAGTTTCTCAAAGAATCTTATTAAAACATAAAAAACACATTCCTTTCACTTTAGTAATAAAAAAGGCATTTAATTTTTGAATTTAAATATTTATCTTTGCAACACAATTCACTTATATTACTAAAATAGAAGAAAAGTAAGTTTTTGTAGAAAAGTGATGTCTATGGCAGTTTATCAATGATTCTTATTAAAACATAAAAAAATACATTCCTTGCACTTTAGTAATAAAAAAGGCATTAAATTTTTAAATTCAAATATTTATCTTTGCAGTACAATTCACTTAGTATCACTAAAATAGAAGGAAAGTAAGTTTTTGTCTATGACAGTTCATTAATGAACATAAAAAATAGCACATTACATTCATTTTAGTAATAAAAAGGGCATTTAATTTTTGAATTCAGATATTTATATTTGCAGTATAATTCACTTAGTTAAAATAGAAGGAAAGTAAGTATTTGTGGAAAACCGATGTCTATGGCAATATATCAATGATTCTTAAAAAATCATAACTGCAATCAAGTAGGCTTAGGCTTGAGATGTCAAAATCGTCTTCGCTATCCGTCACGTTGACAGTCATTTTCTCTAGCTTCTAATTGTTTACAATTAAATCATGGCAGTCAACAACCAAAAAACTAATTAAAAACCTTATAGTATAATATGTAATTCTTGCATCAAAATAGGGGACATTCTTATGTCTCATAAAAATTTAAAGTATTTGCCATATTTACTGAAAAAAACTGGAAGCAGTCCGCATCAAGAAAACCTTTTCGTAGCTATTCAAAAGATTTTGGAGGAAGATATCCCATCTTTTTACGTAAAACCAGGGCTCAGCAAAACAAAATTTCATCAAATTATTACATATTATGTTTTATGAAACACAGACATCTGATGGAAATGAAAAATAAAGGTAATAATTATGCTCCTCGTTACTCTCCGTTGCGAAGAGAAGAGTTCCAGCGAGAATTTCAAAAACATTTAGAGTTAATAGAAGAAATCTGGGAACAAATATTATTTATTATATACAGGGTGTCTCATAATTAGCTACCAAGCCTGAACAGGCCGATTCTATGATCAAAACTAAGTAAAAAAGTTCATATGAACATGGGTCCGGAAATGCTTCCTAAGGGCACAGGGACCCATTGAAGAGGGAGGAATGGAAATCATTTTTTTGCAATATCTCTCAATCGCGTTGTGATAAATGAATGAAATTTGGTATACACAGCTAAATTTTGATGAGCAATTTGATGGACTAATCCATTTATTTCCACAAGGTCCATTGGGGTGGGTAGGGGGGGCCCTTGGTACTTTGCGTATGTAACCTTTTCATCTTTGACTTTTTAACAAATTGGACAGTAAATTCCGTTTTACCGAACTGTTTTACGTTAAAAAGGTACACTTGTTTCAAATCGTTATCTTTAACGGTTTCTGAAAAAATCGCTCTTGAATTAATCCCACTTTGGTCAATTTCATAGTAATTTAAACAAAATACAGGGTGTATTATGTTTTTAATTATTATTTTAAAATAAATAAAAACATTACATAGCAAAATTCTGGATAGGTACCGATTTTTGAACCATATGATAACTGTCAATAAAAATTTTCCACTTATTAATTTTGTTTGCCTAGTAAAGAAAATTCCGAAAAATTTGAAGGTTGCCATGGGCAACTGTCGAAATTACAGTATGTAATTGTCTTAAAGTGACGTGTAAAATTTTTATCTCAATATTTCAAAATTAAAATCTTCGAGCTTCAAGATGGTTCTTTTTTTTCTCGATATAACAATTATTCACGAAATTACAGCCTTTCCAAAATCATTAAAAAAATTTTGAAATTTTTCTGCTCTCTTAATTATTTTGCTGAGATTATTATAATGTTATAGAGTTATTTCACCAAATGTTAAATCAGTAGTGCTTTGTTTATTTGCCTTTATATAATAAATTAAAAGGAGCTTTCTAATTTACCAATCTTTCCGATTTAGAATCACTTAAGAATAGATAGACTTAAATTGGTATCATCTGCTGCACGCGTTGAGCCAAATGTTACCATTGATATAAATTTGGCTTTCTTTTTTGTCAGTTATTCACTATTTCTTGAAGATAACACCAGTTGGTCGAAACCGTTCAAATGCCTCCTGCAGTAGTCGTTATTACAATTATTATTTCGTGTTTATGAGAAATGTGTATCAACCGTATCGACGATGAAAGAAATTATATTAGCAATCAGATTTTTTCACGTGGTCACGCTACAGCGTACCGGATTTATATGCCTCAATACTCGTAGCGTTATGCAAATAAATGCCCATGAAAGTAGCGGCGCTGATAATCTATTTTCCCGCACAAAGAAAAGCCGCCAGGCACAATCTCCTCGTTAATTTTATTTTTATGCGCTGCAATATTCTCGTTTGTGACAAAAATCGTAATGCTGAACCTGGCAACCTATTTGATATTCACCCTGAACGTATTTAGCTCGGCTTTACTTCGATTTGGAATAATTTTTTTTTCAGGGTATTAGTTCAATGCCTTTTGCAACATAACCTTGGTTTGTTGTTGGACTAAGCCACAAAGGCCTGTTTGGCCTTTGTGATTGCAAACAGTTACGATTTGGTAACTTAAAGGAATCGAACCGTCTACATATTTCAGTGAATTATGATTTCGTAAATATACAGGGTGTACAGTTACTAATCGGCCAAATTTTAGCAGTAGCTCGTTCAAAATTAAGGGCAATAATTTTTCATATTTTACTTATAATTACATATTTTTATGTGCTCTCACTATAGTAAATAGACTATTAATACATTGTTTTTAAGGAGGTAAGTGGATTTTACCATAGAAGTGGAAGTTGCTATGGACAACGAGAGGTAAGTGAGTACTTACCTCCCTAGGGAAAAAAGCGATTTCGAGTTATAAATGCATATTTTATGAACAAATAAACATACAATACGCTCCTAAAGTATGGAATAAATTCAGTAAAAACGAAACAATTTTTTTAGGGGAAAAATCCTCGAATAGGTCGCTTTTTAATTTAAAAAATACATATTTTAGCATAAAAGGCGATTTTCAACCGCCATTTGTTTTCGAGTAAAGATGTCATTGACATTTTTTTTTAACTAGTAGCCCTCTATTTTTTTTCTTGATTCTGAAAGATCGTTTCATTGTCGATCCGACAGTATTAAAATGTTGCCATCTTACATAGGAAAGTTTTCGAGTAAATGATGATTGAATGTTAGAAAACTCAAATCAATTAAAATAAAGCAAAAACGTTACCAAATTTAGTTTTTCGAAATGCCTGAAGTTTTTTGTGGATAACGTAGGTGTGAATTTTTACAAAGTGTCACTGCCATACCGACTTTCTTAGTATTGTAAGCGATATAAAAATTATTGTTGAATTTAAAGTATTATGGCACATTTAACTGTCACACAAAGAATTGAAATTTTAATTTTTATCGGATGCGGGAATAAGACTAGAACTCAGTAGGAAGTTTGCGATTTATTTAATGAAAAACATCCAGATCGCCGTATCAGCCAATCAACAGTCAGTAAGATAGAATCTAAATGTAGAGAAACTGGCAATGTTGTAGATATTCCAAAACCTGGACGTCCAAGCGTTAGTGAAGATCACAAACAGAACATTTTGAGAAGTATGGTAGATAATCCTCATAATACTTCACGACTGGTTGCATTAAACAATGAAATTAGTCAGACCGCAGTGCTACTTCAGTACTCAAGTGCTATCTTGAGGCAGGAAAATATCGTCCCTACAAATTTCAACTTGTACAGGAACTCAATGAAGACGATCCCGACCGCCGCTTACACTTTTGTGAAATTATGATGGATTTATGTCAAGTAAATAGAGATGTACACCTGCAAATACTTTTTTCAGACGAGGCCACGTTTTGTCTCAATGGTACAGTGATCCGTCAAACTTGCAGGTATTGGAGTCAGGAAAATCCTCATTGGATGGCAGAGACACATACCCAACACCCACAGAAATTAAATGTGTGGTCTGGAATAGTTGACAACAGAATAGTAGGGCCTTTCTTCTTTGAAGGAACCCTTATAGGAGAAAGATATTTAGAGTTTTTACAAAATGATCCTGTTCCAGCGCTTGCAGTAATTTTTCCTAACGATAATGACCCTGATATTCCTGATAACACCATATGGTTTCAGCAAGACTGTGCACCTCCGCACTATTCGCGCCCTGTTCGAGATTTTCTGGACAATTGCTTTCCTAGAAGGTGGATCGGCAGACGGGGATCGATAGAATGGCCCGCGAGATCCCCAGATCTTACACCCCTGTACTATTTCTTATGAGGCTACTTAAAGTCCAAAGCGTACGTTAATAGACCACATAATTTAGAAGAACTCCAAAATTGTATTATAGATGAAATACACAGAGTTACCCCAGAAATAATTCATAATGTGCAAGAACTACATAGACTTGCGTACGTAACCTGGAGTTGTAGTGTTATTGTAAAGAATCCTGTTGGCTATTTCATTTTTGTTACTTAAACTGTCAGCAACATAACTTTCTGCGATTATGGCTGATTTCCACCCACCATGTCTCTTGATTGCCAAGACATCAACCCCTGTATTAGCCAGTAACGTTGCCGATGTTCTTCGGAATGAATGGCCTGTATATGTTTCAGGATGTTAAAGATAAATATAGAATTATCTTGAAATTGACCTAACTGGCAATTTCATAATGGCCGTCATTTTGATGCATTTAAAAACCGGAAAAATTTAATGTCTTGCAAATTGTAAACAAACATACAGAAAATACACAGTTTGCATTTAAAAATTTTGTTGATCTGCTCCAATGAGATTGCGATTGGACAGAAATTTAAATATGTGCTGTTTATTTCTTAAATTTTCTATTCGCTAAACGCAACCCATACATACTTTTAAACACTATTTCTTAGGGATTGGAAAATTTTCCATTGATAATAATAATAATTTAAGAGATTTCCATTAGACGTTTTTTCCGTTGGTATTCCGATTCCTTACATTAAGACATTTCGGAAAAGACCACATACAATATATGTTTTAAAAAATGTTACCGTTATTTTAACGGTACCAGAGAGAAATAAATCAGTATTCTTTAAGATCATCTAGTCTCCTCGATAAAGAGATTAAGTAACATATACGAGTAATAGCTTTGTTCTTAGTGCATTAGATATAGTTTCCATCAAACGCAATCGCATTTGATTCGAAACACTGAATTTTGAAACTTATGTAAGTACAAGTATGAACAAAGCTAATAGATGCCTGGGCACCTAAAATAATAATGCAGGTTTGATAAATATTATAATAAAATATTTGCAAATAAGTTGATACCTAGTAAGGGTGTCCAAAACAAACGCGGGATTTTATATGAGGAAAGAAGATTTTATTAATTGAAAAGTTGGCAAAGTCTTTGCATGTTTTTAAAGGGTAGACATTGCCATTAAATATGAAAGAGGATATCGGATTCAGGAATAGTATTCATTTGAGTAGAATAAACTTTGCACTTTATGAACCACCGCAGGAATAAGTCGCATAGGCTAAGATCGCATGATTTTGGTGGCCAAGTCACTTCACTGTCACTTGAAATCAGTCGTCCATTAAATTTCTGCCGTAACAAGTGGATAGTGTCACATGCCGTATGGCAGGTGGCACCATTCTGCTGGAACCATGTCTCATCCAAATCCATGTCATCCAAATGTGGTCACAAAAGGTTCAATTTCACAGCTGTTTAATTCGGGGCGTTCCTTCTACCAAGAATTCCACGCACACTCTCAGCTACACACTCTCCGAACTTATAATGAATTTTCACAATCTTACACAATTCAAATTCTATGTATTTTCGGACAACCTTTATGTAAGAATAAAAGATACAGGCCGTTATTTATTAGCTATTTTCTATTTATAAATCGGCGGGAAATATATCGAATATTTTTCCCTGGCGTTTATTTCTTCCCGAAATATTACTAAATGGGAAATAAGCAGTACAAAAGTAGCAATTTCCTCTATTATACCGGCTGTGACAGATTTTTGTGATGTAAAGCTAAATTCACTTTCTTTTCTGTTATGGAATACATAAGTACGTATGGTTATAAATAACAATTTCTCACTAGTATCTCTAAATATAAAACGTTTTAATTTAGTAATTAATTTAATCAGTGATTTTCTGTTTAATAAATCAACTGCTAATCCCTAATTTTCTCTAATTTCAGTAGTTTTTTGAGTTTCTGCCAAAATTGTTAATAAGTAAAATTTTTGTCATAGTAGTTAGACACCATACTTTATACAAGACAGTCTGCAACTGAACCCGGTACTAATAGCAGTCAATACAGTAAGTTACATTGACAATCGTTAAGCAATTTTTTTTAATTTAAGATGGAGGGTATTAAATTAATAATTAATACTCTCCATGTCAAATTATAAGTTTTGCAAGTCTCTACTTTTGAAACAAAGCGCTTTTCGAATTTAAAAAACTATAGTTTAATCACACCTCTAATTTTCATTGTAATATCTCTTGGTGACTTTTGACCGATTAGTAACTGAACATCCTGTATATTTACAAAGTGCTAATGTTACGTATTTTCTGAAATATGTACGAATTTGTGATCAGTCGTTCTTTTTTCATTTTATCAAATGATTCTACCTTGTTATTTTTCATTTTTCTTTCACGTCATAACGAATTACGTTTCCTTATTATAATAATTAATGTAACTAAGAAAAATAGAATTTGGTATATTTCATTTTAGGAAAGTCAGGTGATTCCTTGTGATACCAAAAATAGAAGATAATTTGCTAAAGTATAAAAAATCAGAATCTAGCAAATGTTACAAACAAAAATTAAGGATATTAATAGAGTTATCTTATATTATTTAATTGTTAAAAATGTCCTTGATGTTTATTATTATTTTTTTATTATTAATTTCTCTTTCGATAGTTTCTTTGTATTAGAATTTCACTTTCATTAATCTCGAGCAAATTACAATAATTGCTCTATGTAAGTATAAAACTATGTTCAGTATTTTTTCTTTTCGTGTAAGACTAATCAATATTTATATTAACTACCACGTACATCCAACATTTAACACACGCGCGATGCCGATAATTAACTTAATGTTAATTAAATCTAGTTTTACTTTTAACTATTCGACCGTTCAGTACCGTCTAGTGCCGTAGTGTCGGGGATAACACACTATAAATCCCGGAGTGTTACTAAAAAAATTCATACTCAGCGTGTGCTCTTAAACATACCAAGTTGAGCAACATGGGAGCTTGGGTAAGTAAAGTAAATTTGTATACGTTTTGTCACACCTTTGTTTTTTGTAGGTATTAGCGAGTGTGTTCTACGCATGTTTCGTGCTAACAGAAGGGCAAAGTTCCGTGGGTACCACCAGGTTCACAATCCAGCCTATCCCGGTCAGGCTAGCGAGACACGCTCAAGGAATAGACGCGACGAAAGGTCTACTTGTCGGAGGTGGTATACACAGCGCTGTACCCATAGAAAACAACCCCGTAGCCTCGGCGACGAATTACGAACCCTATGACGTGAAATATTACAAGTTCAGCGCGGAGGACGCGAAGAACCCTAGCCCTTACGTCTACAACTATAACAACGAGATTGGCAGCTACGAAAACGGCGTCAATTACAACGAGTTCACCTCTATAGAGGCCGAAGCTGAGGGATACAGCCAAAACTTGGACACTGCATACGAGCATTATAAAACAGCTACTAGCTTCACCTTAGAAGGTCCAAAACAATTGGAGACGATCACCACGCACAGCTTCCACAAAGAAAGCGAGCCTTTCGATGTGTCCGGTTTCCAAAACTCCCACAAAGAAGATGAGGAGCATGCCGAGGTCCACTACCACCAACACAAGCACCTGCACAAGCATAACCACAGACAGGAGCATATGCACAAGCACGAGCAGAAGCACAAGCACGAGCACGGTCACGACCACGGTCACCAAGCCCAACACGAGCACAAACACGAGTCCCATCATAAACATGCCCACAAGTCTGACCACAAACATGTTCATAAAGGCGAACATCGCCACAGTCATCATCAGGAACATAAGCATTCCCACCAAGGCTCTCATAAACACGAGCACAAGCACCAGCAGGAGCATAATCATGGCCACCATCACGGCCATAAGCATTCTCACCATGGGGAACACAAACATTCCCATCATAACGAGCATAAGCATGACCACCACCACGGACATAAGCATGAGAATAAACATCAGCACAAACATGAGCATCATGGACAACATAAGCATCATCATGGGCATAAAGACGAACATAAGCATCAGCATCACGGCAGCCATCACCACAAGCACTCCCATCACAAGCACTGAGGATGGGCTAGTGCGTTGTTTTAATCGTAGTTGTTATTTTATGTTTCCATTGGACTTGTTTCGGCGGAAATAAATTTTATTTTACTTATTTGCTGTTTTTTTGCTTCTCAACATCGAAATATTAAAAAAAGTCTGTTAATAAACCGAAATATGGTTTATCTCTAGTAATTTTGTCAACATTAATGCAACAGAATGTTTAAATATTAACTAAAGTTGAGATATTTATGGATCAAAACAAGTTCAAAGAATTATTTTGGTTGAAAGAACTTGTTGGCACACAGGTTTGTTTTCTTTAGTTTTTTCAAAAATGTTGGCATGGCATCCAAAAAAATTAGCTAGATTATTTATATAGTGCCACTGGCACAATGATTTCATTTGTAGAGTCACGCAAACGATGGCAAAACTAATTCATTCTGCAAAAAGATATTTAGTACAGACAAAGAGGGAAAAAAGAAGAAACTAAACACAAATTACTTTGACAAATTAAAATATAAAATAAGAGCGAAAGAGCTTTGAAAACAAAATTAAGACAGATTGATATGAAGAAATACTATATCATACTAGAAAGGAAAATATTAGTAATTATTAATTATTAAAAAATTATTAAAAAAGTACCAATGATGAAGTATTTTAGAAATCTAGACCCCAAAATGTGTTATTTGTAAACTGTTTTTTCTCCTATAGTTTTATTTTTTCAGTTGTTTTATATTCGCAAATCTGTTGATAAATAGAATATCTAACCAACAGCTATTGTAGTTTGTACAACTATAAAACATTGGCTGAACTTTACTCGATTTTAAAATATTCTCGGCAACATTTGAAGATTTCCATCTCCCATGTCTGTTTAATACAATTAAATCTGCCCCGACATTAACCAAAATGGTCGCAGAAGATCGACGGAAACAATAGCCTGTGTATTTAGCTGCATTTGGCAAATTGATCCTAAATCATCTATATCAATCAAACTTAATTGATACAGTTCATCACGACGACATGCACCGGCAACACCCAATATTAAGGCAAACTAAAAGGAAAAACTAACATCTAAATATTTAAAAATTTTCACATCTAAACGTACCTTTCATTCATTAAGTATAGATACATATATTATAGTTGAGTAATAAACGTATTTGATGAACATTACATTTTATTAATTATTATGAATGAATATTTATAGTAATTGTACAGTTATTACATTTAGTAACATTTATAAAATCTGGATAATTATTCCCCTCGCGTTTACTAATTGTCACATTTTTCTCAAAATGATTTTACTGCTCCATTTCAGTCACCGGATGCTCAATGTTATCTGACTGACCCATTAAAACAGCATGATGCGACGTACTACTAGAACCTGGTGTCATTGTAAAGAATCCTGTTGGCTATTTCATTTTTGTTACTTAAACTGTCAACAACATAACTTTCTGCTACTGTGGCTGATCTCCACCCACCATATCGCTTGATTGCTAATACTCCTGTATTAACCAGTAACGTTGCCGATGTTCTTTGGAATGAATAGCCTGTGTATGTTTTAGGATGTTCTGGCTTCAAAAACTGTGCAATCTAATTAGGAATCACAGAAAGGGCATTCTTGCCGACTGGTTGGTTGTAACAGCGCATAAAAAAAGCGTGAAATTTCAGTTTTAATTTCCAATCAAATCTTGATATATACTTGAGAATTTCTAGGTGAGAAGCAGAATCAAGGCAGTATTTGTTGCACTTTCTATTTGAAAATCACTCATTTAGAAATAATAATTCAGAACCAGCAAAATTTCAACTTTTAAGTAGCTTTGTTTATAAACACCTTAGAAGCGAGAAAATCCAAATAACCAAGGCGACTTTGCAAGATTTCGAATAATGTCAAAATGAATTAATTAAGATATGTCAAAAAAATAAAACCTAATCTTTATTTCAAGGACCATAAAGAACTGCGGGAGCAGATACAATGTTATACACCACGCAGCAGTTAAGTATCATTTACCACTCTCGGACTCTATTGCCAGCCCTCGCTCCGCTCGGGCACAAAATCGTTCTCGACTGATAAATAATACTTATGATGTAAATAGTAACTATAAAGTCACATTTTTTGCAGCTGCTACTAACTCTGATGGTATCCTGGACATCTGAACATCATCATCACTGTCCATTTTAAATATATTTTAGCACTTATAGGTATTAAAACGATTTTGACATTTATCACAACAATAAATAAACAATGATTGTCAAGGAAACTGTTTCATAAGCAATTATATTGTAATGAAAAAAAGTTAGGTACTTATGCGTTAAAAAAAGTTCTTAGTTCATATTAATTAATTAATATTGTTTGTGATTTCAGCAAAAATAATGCTGTAAAAGTACATTCCCTGACTCGATGCATTTGCATTATCGACGGGGAATGCATTGCTTTTACTGTTAAGTACACAATATACTATTAACACTTACCTCCTTTAATTTGATAAACTTGTAATAGATCTGCCACCATGCCCTCAAGATTCAAACTAAAGGAAACGTTGGAAATTTTACAGAAATAAGCCTGGTGGTATATTTTCTGATACGTACGCAAGTGCTGCGGACTAAATACAGACGAAAAATTGATGACGTTACCACTACGACATCGTCGGAGTTATTTTTACCACTTTTATATCTATAGATATTTTGGGAACACCAGAACAAGTATCTATAGATATTTTGGGGAAGCTAGACTGTACCATTATAGAAGGTGTTTCCTTTCATTTTAAATTCCACGTCAAATCGTGTCAAATCAGACTTTCTTGTCAACCTCGTATTACTTTTATAAAATTACTATTAAAAAATTACGTTTTCATTAATACTACACTGTTTAAAATAATTTGTATCACATTCTTTGTCTAATTCGGTAATAGGGTTTATATAAATTAAAAGGAAAACTTTTTAAGAAAAACATTAAAATTTATTTTCTTAAAAACAATTCAACAAATATAAAAAAATAACTATCTAAAACAAGAAGCTAACCCACCCTCAGAGCTTATGATGGGAATGCTTGTGGTTATGGCTACCGTGATGCTGATGCTTATGCTCGTCTTTATGTCCGTGATTATGCTTGTGATCAGCATGATGCTGATGCTTATGCTGGTGGTGATTCTCATGCTTATGTCCGTGGTGGTGGTTATGCTTATGCTCGTTACGATGAGAATGTTTGTGTTCGCCATGGTGGGAATGCTTGTGGCCGTGGTGGTGGTCGTGTTTATGATCCTGTTGGTGCTTGTGGTCGTGCTTGTGAGAACCGTGATGATTATGCTTATGTTCCTGATGATGGTTGTGGTAATGTTCGCCCCTGTGGCCATGTTTATGCCCCGACTGGTGGACGTGCTTATGCTGGGCATCATGCTTATGCTGGTGTTGAGCGTGGTGGTCGTGTTTATGACCGTGTTCGTGTTTGTGCTCTTGTTGATGCTTGTGCGTATGCTCCTGCTTGTGGTTGTGCTTGTGCACGTGTTTATGTTGATGGTAATGAACTTCGGCATGCTGTTCCTCTTCTTTGTGAGATTTCTGGAATTCGGAGACTTCATAGGGCTCGATCTCCCTTTGGACAGTTTCCAGTTGTCTGGGATCTTCTAGGTTGAAACTGGTAGCTGCTTTGTAGTGATCGTAGCCAGCAGCGTCCAGGTATTCTCTCTGGTTGTTGTATCTTCCGACGTCGGCTTCGACAGAGGCGAATTCATTGCGTCTTGCGTCGACTTCGTGGCTTCCACCTTTGTTGTAGCCGTTGTAGAGGTTATAAGAGTTAGCATCTCTGTCGTTTTCCGCGCTAACCGCGTATAGCTTGACGTTGTAAGGCTGGTAGTTAGTGGCGGATGTCTCTGGATTATTCTGCGTGGATACAGCGCTGTGTATGCCGCTGTCGCCCTCGACTGGAAGCTCTTTGTTCACGTCTAGTCCTTCTGTCTGTCGCGTCACCCTGACAGGGGCCGGATGGATATTAATGTTCCTAGTCGCGTCCACTATATGTTTCGCTTCTGTTAGCAAGAGGCATGCGTAGAACACACTCGCTAATATCTGGAAATCACAAAAAAATAACACGATTATAGATTGACCATAGAAGATATGTTTTCAAGATATTTATTTCTGAATATGTGATCCAAAATGTACAAAAAATTATTTTACTTACCCAAGCTCCCATGTTGCTTAACTTGTTTGGTTAAGAGAACACGCTGAGTATGATTTTTCTAATAATAGGCTCGTGTTTTATAGTTTGTTTTCATCCCCGACTATGCGCATGGTTATATGGTCGAGTAGTTAAAAATAAATGGAATTAAAATTGGTTTCGTTGCATGTTTTGCAAAATTCATTACCATCTCATTTGCCTTCGAATATTCCGGCACGGTGTAAAGAAAGCGTGGTTGTTATAGGCATAAGCTTTGTGGATGACTTAAGAAATTAACATCGTATTTAATACAAGACAATCTGCATTAAGAGAAATAAAAAAGGCCCATTAAGTTTTTAGTTATTTAGTTTCTAAAAAAAATTGACTTCTTGGATATTATTTATTAAACAAGTTGACTAACATCCATCTGATTATTTGATTAAAATATGATTGTTTCCGAAATACACAGATAATAATAATAATAATAATAATAATAATAATAATAATAATAATAATAATAATAATAATAATAATAATAATAATAATAAAGTTTGCGCCAAATGAGAGTATTTTTGTGCCACCAGTAAATTTTTTATTTAGGAGAAAGTTACATTATTTTAATCAACCTAAATCGAAAATAGTAGATACATTTTTCAAAAAAATATGGGAACTGTTAGCTAAATTGTAATATCATTCATTTATCATGATAGAATATAAATTTTCGTTTCAAAATACAGTCGAAATATACAAAACTATTGAAGGGCCATGTCTATTTTTTTTTAATTCAGACTTTAAACTCTGAATTCAGACATTAAACTGTGACTTCAGACTTTAGTCTATAAAATCAGGCTTTAAATTCTGAATTCAGAATTTAAACTGTGAAGTCAGACTTGGAACTCTGAATTGGGACTTAAAACTCTGAAATCATACTTCAAACTCTGAATTCAGACTTTAAACTGTGAATTCAGACTTTGAACTCTGAATTGGGACTTTAAACTCTGAAGTCAGATTATGATCTCTGAATTGGAACTTTAAACTCTGAATTCAGACTTTAAACTGTGAAGTCAGACTATGAACTCTGAATTGGACTTTAAACTCTGGTCATAATTTAAACTCTGAATTCAGACTTTACACTGCGAATTCTGACTTTGAACTCTGAATTGGGACTTTAAACTCTGAAGTCAGACTTTAAACTGTGAATTCAGACTTTGAACTCTGAATTGGGACTTTAAACTCTGAAGTTAGACTTTAAAATGTGAATTCAGACTATGAACTCTGAATTGGGACTTTAAACTATGAATTGGGAATTTAAACTCTGAAGTCAGGACTTTAAACTCTGAATTGGAACTTTAAACTGTGAATTCAGACTTTAAACGGCGAAGTCAGACTATGAACTCCGAATCGGGTCTTTAAACTCTGAAGTCATTATTTAAACTTTGAATTCAGACTTTAAACTGCGAATTCTGACTTTGAACTCTGAATTGGGACTTTAAACTCTGAAGTCAGACTTTAAACTCTGAATTCAGACTTTAAACTGTGAATTCATACTTTGAACTCTGAATTGGGACTTTAAATGAATTCAGACTATGACTCTGAATTGGGACTTTCAACTCTGAAGTCAGACTTTAATCTCTGATTTCAGACTTTAAACTGTGAAGTCAGACTATGAACTCTGAATTGGGACTTTAAAACTCTGAAGTCATACTTTAAACTCTGAATTCAGACTTTAAACTCTAAATTCAGACTTTAAACTGCTAATTCAGAATTTGAACTGTGAATTGGGACTTTAAACTCTGAAGTCAGACTTTAAACTCTGAATTCAGACTTTAAACTGCGAATTCAGACTTTGAATTCTGAATTGGGACTTTAAACTCTGAAGTCAGACTTTAAACTCAATTTAATATTGTATTTCTACGAAGCCGTACCTAGAAGGGCCATTTCTAAAATTTTTTTAAAATTAGACTTTAAACTCTGAATTAGGACTTTAATCTCTGAATTATTAACTTTCGTTCCATTGCAGGAATGTTCCCTTACTTTCAAGTGGAAGTTCAGCTGTAGTATACTTTGACTACAACCAAAATTCCTCTAAATTTCTTCTAAGGGATCCTGGAAGGTGTTGAATTCAGAAAATAATAACAATTAAATCAATTAAAGTCTGAATTCAAAGTTTAAAGTCTAATTTTAATTTTTTTTTTAGAAATGGCCCTTCTAGGTACGGCTTCGTAGAAATACAATATTAAAAAAACTATTTTTTTTTTAATAGTGGTGATTTTAGTTTTATCTTGAGATTCTTGAATATTCTTCAAAGACACATTTGGCAATAGTTTTGTAAATAGGGTTAATGTTCTTTTGAAAAATAAATTTCAGAAATATTTGTAGTGTATATTTTTGATAGTTTCAGTTCAAAGATTTTGACAAAAAAAAAATTAAACATTTTGTTTTGTTTGTTTCAAACATTGGTTTTGTTTTCAATACGAAAATTTAAATTCAGTAAAAATAAATAAATATTAGTAGAATGTAGCCGCTTTTTAATTTTTGGCTAATTAAACTTAGGTAGGTACACTATTTTCTCCTAAACCAGAAATCTCCCGGTATATCTACAATTTAAATTCTAGATTGCCTTTATGTGAAATTAGAAGATTTTTTTACTGAAATCATATAAATATGTGTCTTATTTGGGTAAATTTTATAATAATCGGATCATAATCATATGTACATATCTGAAAAGTGGAAGATTGCTAAAGTTACCCCTATTTTTAAATCTGGCAGTAAATATGAAGTAAATAATTACATGTCAATTTCTATTTTATGTACTTTTAGCAAAATCTTGGAATTAATTATTACGGATAAATTATTTTTTCAAATACAATTTTTATTAAATGCATGGATTTTTTAGTCGTAGATTTACTTTGTCTAACCTTGCTCCTTTTTTACAATTCATATCTGATAGTATGGATAAAAATGTTCTGTTACACGAACTTTTCGAAAGCTTTTGATAAGGTTCACCATGATACTCTTTTTAATAAGCTTCGATTCGTTGGTGTGTTTGGCATGGATTAAATCGTATTTAACCAATCGTTCCCGGTACGTTGTGTTTATGAATTGTAGCTCTGATATTAGCAAAGTTACGCCGGGTGTTCCTAAAGGTAGTCATATAGGCCCCTTACTGTTTTCTATATACATAAATAATATATCTACTTGCTTTAAGCATTTCTCGATGTATGCTGATGACCTTAAGATGTTCAAACAAATTTCATGTGATACTGATGATGAATTTCAGGAAGATATTCATAGATTGTATCATTTTTGTAAGTCCAATTACTAATTTATTAATGTTAAGAAATGCAATCATATATCTGTCACTAGAAATAGAGTCAGAGTCACTTTATTATTAGTTCTAATATTGTTGAAAAAGCTTATAGTATTAAGGATCTCGGAGTCATCTTGGATGATAAGTTGGTATTTGATGGTCATATAGATTACATAGTCAGACGTGCTTTTCGAATGTTAGGTTTCATTTTGAGACTTACCAAGGATTTTAAAAATATGTATGTTTTGTCTTTATTATTTTTTGGTTAGGTCTCAATTAGAATATAATACAGTAATTTGGTCTCCTTTATATTTTTAATATATAAACTGAATTGAGCTTGTTCAAATCAAATTTATTAACAATGTTAATTATAGATTTGGCTAAGACGGTATTTTATCGATTATTATTATTAGCATCAAAATGAGTAGCACCAATGGTAGCACTACCCGAGTTTACATCTTCGTACTCGAGTTTTTTTTGTGTGTTGTTGGCTTAAAAAAATATATTGGGAACAGAATGTTCCTTATACGTAAACTACAATTTTACAAAAATTTTGACAAAAGAACTGGCAAATTCATTGATTTTCCAATATCATTATTCCATACCACATTATTTTGTGGAGGAATCGCCTTGTATTATCAAGGTGCTAAATAATAGTGAGAAAATTATTCTTTTCATATGGCAAGTGACAGTTATTTTGCTTTATTTTATTTTATAACAAAAAGTCTGAAAAATTTACTTATTTTATGTGTATTACCAATTTATCTGTCCTGAATATACTTTTTGCCATAAAAATATATTTTAATGAAACCCAGAAACCCATTTTTTACTGATATCAGATTCGTCAACTTTAAACGTTACATACTCTTTGATTTGTGTATTTTTTTTAAATAAAAATAACTCAAAAATATCAGTTTTCTGTTAAAATTCACCACGAGCTTACTTGTTTTTTTTTTGTTCTCACTGGTAACATTATCTTGTCGTTCGGGGATCAAAGCTTGCGTGAAAACCATACCTCCCAGCAGAATAATGAGTCTCAAATTCCTGTTATAAAGATACTAGTTCGATTTCTAATTAGCACTCTATAATTGCACAGGTACAGACTTGCCATGGCAGCTCGTCGATTATTATGTCTATTAGAATGAAACTTGATTAACATAAACAGTAGCAATTTTATAATATATCCTATTAATTAATAAGTGCGTTTTGAAGCTCGCTTTGGCGTGCGATAGACCGGATCAGCATCGGCGGCGCCAAGAGAAATATTTGCTGGAAATGGCATTTAATTGATTTAAAGTACCTAATGTAGGAATCAAATTTAGTTGGCAATGTCTGGGTATGTTAAAAATTATCACCAAAAACAAGCTGTAATTAATAACTAAAAAAAAATCACTCGTAAATGATTAATTAGGATATACAGTTTACAGTGTTGAAATTTATTCACTTTGCTGGGCCTTCTCCTGCCTTGATTTAAAAACCAATTTTGTTTCATCACCATTGTCCATTGTAGAATCCTTAACGTTTTTTTAAAATGGTTTGTTAATTTGTATCTAAAGAAACCCTAGCGCACGCCTATGCGCGTCATTAGTAGAAATTCTACGGTGGAAGAAAACCTGCAGCTTTTATTGAAAATATAAATACCATCTTTCGAATCATTTTCATTCACTCTCAGCTTGGTTCGCTAACGACGTCCATGCCTAGCACCATGGGAGTTTGGGTAAGTACCATAACATACCCAGTTGTTTGTTTAATACTATTAATATTTTGTAGATTATCGCATGTATGTTCCTAGCAACTTTCATGACGGTATCAGCCAAACCTTACCGAGTTGCGGACATAATAATAGGAAGCAAAAGTGAAAATCAGGACCTGGGTATCGCGGAGACAACTACCGAGCCGTATAGGTCGTCCAAGCCCTTCAAACCCTCCAAGCAGTTCTACAATGACATAGTGGTGTACCCAGTAAAAGTAATTCAACCTTTGAGCTACAGTTCCATCAACAATCAATTTAAATATGAAGCAGACACCAACCCTTACACCATCAACTCTCAACTGAAGGGTACCGTGAATTCTGTTCCCTTATCAGGTGAAAATACTTCCGGGGTGCAAGAAAATTCTCAGACAGGAACTGACAATGAAGGGCAGGGCTTCAGCGAAACCGTGTCCTACGTGAAACCTGTGAGATTCTACGACCAGAGAAGCTCTCACTTCGATGCTGGTGGTGACTACGAAGGCAAACAGAAGAAGAAGGAAATCCACTACCATCAGCACAAACACCTTCACGAGCATGACCACAAACAGGAGCACCTTCACAAGCACAAGCAGGAACATTTGCATCACCATAAGCATGGACACAAGCATGGCGATAAACACGAACATCAACACTGGAACAACCACGACCACCATCACAAGAGCGAGCATGGCCATAAACACGAGGACAAGCATCAACACGTGCATAAAGGTAAGGGGGAAGTTTTTTTTAATAATTCTTATTACGACTAATTCTGACCCTTGTAAAGGTGAGCACCACCATGACCACAAGCAGGAACATAAGCATGGCCATCAACATCAAGAAAAACACGACCATCACGACGACCATAAACACGAGCACTCTCACAAGGCCGACCACCACCACGACCATCACAACGACCATCACCATGACCACAAGCATGAACATTCTCATCAAGGGAAACACAAGCATTCTCATCGTAGTGACAACAAGCATCACCACGACCACAAGCACAACGGTCACCATCACCACGGTCATAACTCCAAGCATCAGCATCAGCATAAGCACAGCCACCCAGGCCACGGGCACAAGATTTATATTAAGAGATATCACCACTGATGCGAGTTTTGTATTTGTAAAGTTGTTTTTAGTAGTTACTGTTAGTAGTAAGTTCTGAAATGAAGTATTTATAGAGAAATGCGCTCGTTGAAGATTTGGCGCTAGAATTTGTGGGTTTTACATACAATTTTATTTTTGTTTCTTTAGAGATTCATTTATTTCCTTGAGGTATTTATCAACTGTATATGTCGACACAATAAAACGCTGTTTTTTTAACTTGTTATGTATTTCAAATTGGGATGTAAGTATACGCAACAGGGCAAGCTTTCAGGAAAATGACAACTATTAACATAAATAAACAGTTAAACTAATTTCCAATTACCTATTACATTTATCAAAAATCAAAATAATAAAATAATTGTTTCAATATCTCGCTGATTCCGTCTGCGTGGCATGATATACTGTTACTAGTCCCCCCCCCCAGTGAGGCCACAATTTCTTGGCTTCTAAGCGCGTCACATTTGCCTATAAATATGCTATGGTTCCCCCTCCACCTGAGACGGTTAAAATAACGTGTTTACGCGGGGAACTGAGGATAGTAAAAGGCTTTAAGGACAAGGACAAGGCAGGTATTAATTAAAGTATATAAAAACAACTTCCTTACAACAAAACAAGGTAAGACTAAGTTTAGCATAATACTGTCAATTAAGACAGATAACCAGTACAAACATTAGCATCGCATTCTAGATTATATTGTACAGGGTGCTAAAAAAAGAGTGTAAAATGTTTCAGGAGGTAATAGTATGAACCAAAATAAGCAGAAAAGTCTTAATAAACATGGGTCCGCAAAGTAACGGTTGCGGAGATATGGACCACTATTCGTTTTTCAAACATTTTATTTTATTAGGAATAAACCGACAAAGGAAGCTTTTAACAAACAAAAAACAAAGTTACAGAAGATGTTCAAAGTGCCCTCCGTCCATTTCCAAGCAGGCACGACATCTTCGTCTCAACGATATTCGAACTCTTTCGAAAACACCCTCCTTGGTTTGGATTTCTTGACACTTTTGATTAATCCGTAGCTGCAGCTCTTCCAGGCTATTTACAGGAGTACCATACACTAATGTCTTCAAATATCCCCAAACAAAGAAATCTAGAGGGTTCAGATCAGGCGATCTTGGAGGCCATAAAACAGGTCCGGCCCTTCCTACCCATCTATGTGGAAAAGTTTGGTGTAAATGCTCTCTAACGGCCATGGAAAAATGAGCTGGAGCACCATCATGCTGGAACCACATTTGTTGCCTCTGATTCAAAGGAATGTCTTCCAAAAACTCATACAGTGTGTTCTGCAGAAAGTTGAGGTAAGCAGCGCCTGTTAATCGGTTTGGTAAAACAACAGGACCTAGAAACCTGTCACCTACAATACCCATCCAAATGTTTAATGAAAAACGTGCCTGATGTCCAGATTCTATTAGAGCATGAGGATTTTCGTCGGCCCAAATATGCGTATTGTGAAAATTAAACACTCCATTTCTTGTGAACCCGGCCTCATCAGTAAAAAGAATGTTTGCAAGAAAACGAGGGTCTTCAGCATCATGACGTAGAAACCAGCGGCAAAAAACCAAACGTGCTTGATGATCATTTATTGGATTTAAGGCCTGTACTCGTTGCACATGGTATGGATAAAGCAGTTGCTCGTGAAGGATTCTCCAAACAAGAGGACCACTAATTCCTACCTCGGCTGATATTCTCCGCACACTCGTACCTGGATTCTGCTCTACCAGTGCTAGAATTTCTTCTTCTGCTCTAGGAGTGGATACCGACCTTGGTCTTCCGGATAAATGGCACTGTTTGCTCAAGGAACCGGTATCACGCAATCTTTGGTGAATTCTTCCAAACATGCGTTGTGAAGGAATCTGGCGATTTGGATAAGCGTCAACATAAAGACGTCGCGCTTCGGTGGCGTTCCCATTAGCACGACCATACATGAAATGCATGTCTGTTAATTCTGCGTTAGAGTAACCAGCCATAGCGAAAGAAAACTTGTGCACTGAGAACAACTGTCAAATACGTACTGTTTATTTCACTAAACATCAACCAACTAAGAAAATACACAACGTTTTTGCAAAATAAAAAAAGGGGCTAAAAAACATAAAACATTCCATATCTCCGCAACCGTTACTTTGCGGACCCATGTTTATTGAGACTTTTCTGTTTATTTTGGTTCATACTATTACCTCCTTAAATATTTTACACTCTTTTTTTAACACCCTGTATAATAGATATTATATTATTGATATACATAGGTAATAATGACTCCCGCACACAATATTGTTTTATCTCTGCTTGAAACGCCTTTTTCAAGACGTAATGAAGTAGAAAAACTACAAACTTTGTTAGTCGGCCAACACCAAAAATAACGGCAATTTTTAACGAAGAGAGAAGAGGTCGGGAAAGTTCGCGAATATTTCAATCTTCTTGGTATGATAATAATTTATCAATGACTATGCGGAACGAAGAAAATTAAAAATTATGCGAAAAATATTCAATTAAGTGTCCGTTTTGGGAATTTACATAATTTAAATTTTCTTGCTTAGTAGATTCCTCAAAATTTCCGGAATATGCAAACAAATTTCCCAAATCATTTGAATGTTTATTACACATGTATCCAATTGTTTTTGAAATAAATATGTAGGTTGAAAAACGAATTTAATATTTTGTAAATAGACGTACAATTTCGTGATTTAGAAGTTCAAAAAAGGGTAGAAGTATTATACAAGGAATTTAAAATGGTACATATTTTCGGAAACATACAAATTGTTTCGCCTAGTTTGAACAATTCCTGCTACTCAATTTCATCAATTTTCTCAGTAGAAAGAAACATTTCGTGTCTTAAGCGCATTAAGAAATATGATGAGACAAGAGCGCTTAAACAACTTATGGCGATAGAAGAACTATTACAAAGTCTTACGAGTAGTGCTGATCCTCAATTTTTTGAAAATTTGCAAATTTAAAAGATCTGTTATATAAAAAGTCAATGTTTTTAAAATAGTTTGTTAAAAGTGGAGGCAAACGAAAAGCTGGCGGCGGTGTTTTTTATGTAAATAGGGAAGTTGACTGTACCTTATGAAAATTTGTTTTTGTTTTTTCATGTTCTTTAATATTCTTAAACCAAGTAGAAACAATTTTTTTAATTATTAGGTAAATATGTATATCATTTTGCTTTTTTTTCTATTGATTTTGTTGAAAATAAAATTTTTTAAGTTCTGATGTTATTTAATTGTTTATTTATGATTATTTGAGAGCAGATTAATAAAATAACCAAATAGTTGCGTGAAGATTTCTATTTTTTATAAAATCTGAATGAAAATCCTCGTGAATTTCGATAATATTTTGTAAATGCAATGAAAAATTTCTAGATTCATTTAGTCGTTTGACCTTGAAAATTTAAAAATTTTTGCAAGCGGCATTTTTTTTGTTCTTTGTTGCCCAATTAGTAAAACAACCACAGGCCTCACCTATTCACAATGTCACCAGCCGCCACTGAAATGACTAATCATTACTTACTGGAATTCGAGATTCATTTGTTTCAGTAATAAAAAGAAAGTTTCAAATTTCGCCGCGCTTTGTTACAAATGACTCAAAGATGTTGTATACTCGACTTAGCGGCGGTAAATGTGGGCGTAGCAAAAATAAGATTCTTTGTGTACTTGCTCGGTGTTATGCACCAGTTTAGCTGCGGCATTACTCATACAAAAATTTATTTGTATGCAAATGTTTGGATAAATCATAACAGAAACCACAGGATATGATTTGGCATGTTTTTTTATGACATGTTTCAGTCTAATTTTAATTATTTTCAAGAAGACCGTAAAAGTTTTTTATATGTAATTTTCCTATAAAAAATACTTGATAATTATACAGGGTGAGTTTTTTTCGATGTACAGTGTAGGCAGCTGGGAAAGTAGCGTAGTAGAGATATAAAAGAGCTTAAATGAGGAAAGATATGCAGTTTTATGATCCTTATTAAATGCTACTTTTATTTTTTGATAAAAAGTCATGGCTGACTAGATATGTGGAAAAATCCGAATTCTGCCAATTTCTTCAGATGCGTGTAGCTCCGTTGCTATTTATTTAAAAAAAAAATTAATTACAAAGTTTCAGGTTTTTGCAGTATTAATAAAACAGTGTGATCTAATTGTTCGTGTGCACGTTCGTTTTCAAGTTATAGAATAAACTTCAAGTTTTTTTATTGTAAACCATAGGCTGTAGTTCTCCCATTTTTCAAAATAACCATACCAAATATTATCTCGTTGGAAAGCATAAAAAAATTAATTTTTTTATAGCTCATAGCTTGAAAACTTGAAAACGAAAGTGCACACGAACAATTTGATCACACTGTCTTATTAACACTGCAAAAACCTGAAACTTTGTAATTTAAAATTTTTTTGTAAAATAAATAGCAACGGACCTACACGCTTCTGAAGGAATTGACCAAATTCGAATTTTTCCAAATATGTATCTAGTCAGCCATGACATTTTTTTTTTAAATAGAAGTAACATTTAATAAGGATCATAAAACTGCACATCTTTCCGCATTTAAACTTTTTTTGTATCTCTGCTACTTTCCCAGATCCCTACACTAAACATCGAAAGAAAACTCACACTGTATAAAAAATTGTTTAATGCGTCTGTCTATAGTCTATCATACTCTATCTTGAGCCAGACATTGGTTTTGGTTTTAAAGAAGTGTAGTTTTTAAAATATTATTATAAAGCTGAATAAAATATTTTATACAGGGTGTTTTCGATTTGGTCCAGCTTAAAATTTGAATTTTGGTGGTGAAAATAAGAAAAGTCTTACCACAGACAATATAGCTTATCGCTATAGCTATTTTGTCTGTGGTCTTACAAAGGAACGAACTTGAATAAAAAATCACATTTTCTCAATTACCTCTGAAGATGTGTGACGTAAAGTGATAAAACTTGGGTTAGTGACTTATCTAATTAGAGGTATAAATTCGTTGAATTTAGATATTCAAACCCACATCCAGTGGCGGAGATACGGGGAGTCACTGTCACTAAAAACCCAAAAAAAAATCGACTTCTGGATACCTAGTTTGGT